GAGGGAGAAGAAAAGAGGACTAAGGATGAGCCTGTGGGTCTGGATCATCAGTCTCTTAGAGCTTAGGAACTATTTCTTCGAGTGCTTGCTCATGTCGGTTCTATTCTAGGTGTGTGTGCGTACCCACGTGCACAGTCAGCAGAGATTTTTTGCCTTAGTGGTATCTGTAGGGTCGGCTGTAGCGTCCCCTTGAGTGCTGCGCTCGCGCATTGGCATATTAGATGCTGCCAACCCTACGCCCTCTCAGTTCCTTCTTACTACCCGTGGCAGTTGATCGGAGTGCCTTGTCTTGCATCACAAGAGCATTAGCAGTTCTTCACAGCCCATTGTCTGTCTCCTTCGTATATAGTTTGTAGGTTCCTAGTTAGCCATTAAGTGTTAGGTTAGTTGGTAGTTAGAGTACCAGCTGCGATTTCACCCCAGAGCAGAGCATGCCCCAATCTCCTGGCTTCAAACCATACTCGTCCTGCAACAGGCCGATGCCTATTAGTGACCCCCACAACAGTTGTTTGAAGTGTTTAGGGGAATCCCATAGAAAGGACAAGTGCAGAATCTGTAAAAACTTTTGCCCCAGAACACACAGAGTGGGATAGCTGCTTGAGAGCCCTCTTCATGGAGACTGAGCTTCGTCCTGTGTCCGAGTCCTCCTGCTCGGATCCCACACTGAGCACCTGGACATCAGTGCGTAACGCACCGCCAGCATCGGACTCTGCCCAGCACCGTGCCCCTCGCCGGTGCTGAAGAAGCGACAAAAGAAGAAAAGCCCCCCGGCACTGGAAGGTAAAGGGGCCTTGGGCAAAGGCCCTATGTCAGGCCATGTGCCCGCCTCAAGGTATCATGGGGGTACCACTGAGGTTGAACCCCCTCAGCCCGGCCAGCGATCCGCCTCCAACTCCCGGGAGTGGCAGGGGACCCTGGCTTCTCCTTGGGCCCTGGTTGACCAAGCGGCCCCAGCAGCTAAAGAGCAAGCTGGCCGACAGGCACTGCAGACACCGCACCAGGCGCCAGACTCGGCTAAGGTCCCAACTCATAAGGGCAAGCCAATCATGAGACTGCCCCATAGGGCAGTGGAGCTCCCTTGGTCCCTGGAACGAAGGCGTAGATCCTCATCTCTGGGGCCTAGAACTCCAGCACTGCATCCCCAGTCTCCAGTCAGAAGACCCAGGTCCCTGACGCTGCGCCCTCCCCCTACAAGACATGGGACACCAGAGTCAAGGCACCAGTCCCTGTACCACCAGTACCGACGAGCTTCCTGTCAAAGATTGCCACGGCGCAGGTCACCCTCTCCCAGACGGTCTCCCAGACATGGGTCCCCCACTGGGGCGGGATCGCCTCTGTTGCAGCACCAGTCTCCACCCCCCCCCCCACCCCAACCCCCTCGGTACCACTCATCAGCAGGCACCGATCATCACCAGGATCAGTCAGCAGACTCAGGCCTTGACAGCTCCGCCCCGGTTGCTGGAAGGTCAATGGTTGGACTCGGACCGGGTGTTCAGCCCCTCGCCAAGGAGGGGTGATTCACTGCCGACCCGTGAAGCTGGTGTGGCAGCTGCAGCGATGGCATGGCAGGAGGAACAATGGCCCACTCAATGGCCATACTGGAACCTTTGGGGCATGCCCGTTATGCCGGTCCCATATTCCCACCAGTTGTCCCTGGATGCCTCGGACTAACTACCCCCAGCACCACCAGCACTGGAGTTGGAACACGGTACTAAATTCAACGTGGGGACAGCACATCAGACTCAGCACCTAAGTTGAAAGTTGCAGATTTTGTGCCATAGAAATGAAAATATAATGTAGCTTATTCTTTATAAAGTGTATCTAAGATGCTTATTAGAATGTTTAATTATGAAGATGGTGCTATATTTTAAGAGACCTCACAGTATAAATTTAAAATAATCTAGGAATATAACCCAGGAGATCCCTTCCAGGTCCAGTGCACTGTTGTTGCAAACAGCCCCATTATATAATTCTGTAAATGATTATATCAAGCCCCAATTTAAAAGTAGTTGGGTTTCTCCCCTGTGCCCCCAACCCCACCCACCAGTCCTACTTGAAGGCTGTTCCAAAACTTCACTCTTCTAGTCAGAAACCTGCTAACTTTATTCATAGCCTGTTTATACACATTTGTTCATGTGGCCAACATTGTCCTCAAGCTTAAATAGCTCTTCTCCCTCTCTGATGTTTACTCCGTGACATATTTATAGAGAGCAACCATATCCCCGCTGTGTTCTTTTTGCTAGACTAAACAAGCCAAGCCTTTTAAGTTTCCTCTTGTAAAGTAGGCTCTCCAAGTCATTTTAGTAGCCCTTCTCTGCACTTCTTCCAATATGAATTCTTTCTTGAACATGGGTGACTAGAATTGTATACACTATATCAAATGAGATCTTATCAGTACCTCATACAAGGGTATTAATACTTCCCTATCTCTGCTGGAAATACCTTGCTTCATACATGCTAGGCAAACACTTTCCTTTTTCACAGCTGCATCATTTTGATGGCTTAGTCATCCTGTGATCGACTAATACATCCAGGTCTTTCTATCCCTCTGTCGTTATACTCGCTCCCATTAGCATCCTGCCTTTGCCCCCATGGTCTGCATCATCACTGTTATTGAAAACTGGGACAACATATTCATTTAGTTTGTGAGACATACCTAGATTGTTTAATCTCTACCCCACTGGTTTTCAACTTGTGGTCCACAGACTCCTGGTGGTCTGTAGACTGTCTAAGATTTCCAAAGGGGTCTGCAACTCCATTTGAAATATTTTAGGGGTTCACAAATGAAAAAAGTTTGAAAACCACTGCTCTACCCCATAGCAGCCCTACTTCTTTTCTAGTTCTCTTTTTATTTATATTGGTAAAAAAACATTTTACTATTCGTTTTAATTTCTTTTGCAAGGCCGAAGTAAGGCTTGCCTTAAGCTCATTAAACTACTATGAGGCTTAAACAGGATTTCCTGTTGATAGAGATATCAGTTTTGGAAGAAGCAACAGAGGGTCCTGTGGCATGGATTCACACCACAATACAAAACTCTCCCCCACTCTCATAAGTTATACATGTTTAAAATAATGGGTTTTTTGTGATAGATGAACTTCCTTTTACATTTGGAGCTGTCTTGCTTCAGATTTCACAGTGATCTACAGCAAATTTTGTAACTATTAAGATTCCCATTTCTCATTATGGAGACTTATTTTTTTGTTCAGCATAACATACCTCAATAATCAGTCTGATGTGCAGACTGAAGGAAAACTTTTACACATCATGTTGTTTACAAGACTTATCTGACAGTGTTTTAATTTTTACATGCAGCTAGTTTATCCATATTTGCTGTCTTGTAATATATTTAACTTGCTATAACCATGTTTAGTTGTGCTCTATGGTATGTTGCTTTGTTTTGATTAATTTCTTCTGTTTGTCTCTCCAGCATTCTACACCTCTGATTTATCTGATCTAAATCTGTAGCAACAGCATTGTCTTGTTCAATATTACCAACATCATACCTGTTTGAGCATGCCAAACTGAAATTACTCATTTAAATTAAATGGAGAAAATTGCATGCATTCATGCATCTACTTGTCATAAGATGAATTTGCCAGTTCTGGCATTACAGTAATATGACTAATTATCACTGACATTTGTTTGCTTCTGCCATAGGTATAGTGTGACTTTAGGTAAGTCTTCACTGCAACAAAAGACTCTTGGCACTGCTGTAACTGGCCTGAGCCAGTTGACTCAGGCTCACGGGGCTAAAAATTGCAGTGCAGATGATAAGGTGTTGGTTGGAGCCTGAGCTCTGAGACACCATTAGGGAGGAGGGTCTCAGAGCTTGGGCTCCAGCCTGAGCCCAGATGTCTGTGCTGCAATTTTTTGCCTCACAGCCCAAGTCCTGTGAACCTAAGTCAATTGACCTGGGCTCTGAAACTGAGTGCTGCGGATTTTTTATTGCAGTGTAGATATACTCTTTAACTCATAACTTAGTAAGTTTGTATTCCTAATTTTATGAATGAAATTGACATTCTTGAAAATAAATACTTAAATGTTTTACAAAGGCAACTGCAGTTTATGCATCAGTTTAAAAAGTATTACAGAAGGATAAGGTTCAGCCATCCCTGATAGTAATTCCACACCACTAGCCTGCTATCTTTTGAGAACAACATATTAGCTTTCAATCTCTAAAAACTGTACTTTATAGAGTCCATATCCCCATAACGTGGCCAGTGTAATTGACGTCACATTTCAGAAACCAAATGAACCATAATTAAGGCTATGTTTTAATCACAGGTATTTTTAGTAAAAGTCATAGGTCACGGACAGTAAACAGAAATTCACAGCCTGTGACCTGTCCATGACTTTTACTATATACTCCTGCCTAAAACTTGGGGGTGGTGCTTGGGGGGGGGGGGAAGCGGGGGTGCAGTGGGTGCTAGGGGGGCGGACGCCGTGGGTGCTCGGCGGCGGGGGGGGGGCGGAATTGCAGCCTGGGAGGTGCTGGGGGGGGGGTGGTTGGTGGGGCTGGGGCAGATTCCCTACCCAGCCCCAAGCTCCATCTGCTGCCTCTGATCCACCCTAAGCTCCGGTCCTGCAGCTCCCATTGGCTGGGAACTGCGCCAATGGGAGCTGCGGGGGCAGTGCTTGCGGGCGGAGGCAGCATGTGTGTATAGTATGTTGCATTATCATAGTCAATAAGAATTTTTAGGCACTTCTGAAAATCACACCCTAAAGGGGCAGTAATTGATTAGTTTTCATTACATTATCCTATTTGTTGAAATTTTTTTTACCCCATCTTGGCTTTACTTTAACACATTGTTTGTATTTAATACCAGGTACGTTGTTCTTTGGAACACTTGTTACTTTAGATTTCAAATTGTGAATTTGGCATTTTCTTAAATGTTTTAAAAAAAAAGTGTAAGACAGTTACTGACCCCCATTCTTATTTTTAGCTAATGTATATCTTCGGTTGTAGTGTTTAGATTCCAATATTTTTTGCATATTACAGGGTCTGAGGAACAAGCCAAAGAAAACTGGACATGTGAAGCCAGACCTCATAGATGTCGATCTTGTAAGAGGTAAGGCTTGAGCTAGTAAATGCTGAATTTGTCAGTAATTTGACCTTATGGGGACAGTTATAAAAATAATTGTCTTTATCCTGATAGCCTTGCAGCAGAAGAGTTGAGTATAACAATAAAAATGAGAAGAAACTCTATGGCTAAAGAAACACCAGGAAACAGTTGTCTCCTATTTATGTCTAAATTTAAAATTAAATCAGTTTAGTTACCGTATGTAGTTGATCATGTAGATTTATTATAGCCATAGTCTTAAGAAAAAAGGAAACAATTGCTAATTGTTTTGTATCTGATAGTGTCCATTTTAAGAAACTTCAGAGGAAAGTTCAAGAAATCCTGATAAGGACACTTCAAGGAATAAGCTTGAGCATAGTTTGAGAAGGGATTTGTAGATGCTGTACAGTTATTTCTTCCCTGTAAAATAGGTGTATCTGATTATACTTATTGGCTAATAACTCTTAGCCTCAGAGTACAAATCCTTGTCCTGATTGGCTGCTGCCTTTGGAACTCCTAATCTAAATGCATATACAGACATGAATGGTGGTGGGTTTTGCCCTGTACCAGATCCTTTGGTTGGATCTGTCTGTCTAGAGATCAGTGTTTTTATTTTTGTTTTAGATTAGTTTTACTGTACAGCTCTTCATGCTTTTCAGTAGATGTCTTTTATAAATAGGTTTGCATTAAATTCATTATACACCTCTACCTTGATATAACGCTGTCCTCGGGAGCCAAAAAATCTTAACCGCTTTATAGGTGAAAACGCGTTATATCGAACTTGCTTTGATCCACCAGAGTGTGCAACCCTGCCCCCCCCCAGAGCATTGCTTTACCGTGTTATATCCGAATTCGTGTTATATCGGGGTAGAGGTGTAATTAAGAACAGGAATCAGTTAAATTTTCACCTTTTCATTCTATGTTTATACAGCAACTAGTATAATAGGGTCTTGGCCCATGACTAGGGGCATAAGTGTTAAAGTAACCGTTTATACATAATTTTTTTGTGAACAAAAATCGGTTTAAAAGCACTGTAACTATAAGAAGATATGGGATTTATGGTCATAATATCTATAAATGTCCATTGTTTCAGAAGTTGGAGTATAGGCTAGTTTTAGAAACATCTAAAATGTATTACTCTGTTATGCTTGGGAGGCTTTATCATCTGTAGACCTATGAAACAAGGCAGGACTTCTCTGGAGCTTGTTACAGACTAACTGTTACGTTCTTTTGGTCAGGTTTATTGTCCAAACTTAAAACAAACAAAAAAGTTTCTTAGCTCACCCTTTACATATTGGGCTCTTGCGGTCTCTTCTCCCAAACTCTGGCTGTCCTGCAGCTTCCTAGCTTTCTCCCAGTCAGTTCTGCCTCACTGGGTCTTTCTCTTACCCTTTATAGCCCCAGGTCACATAATGCCTTTATAGCTCCAGCCCCACCTCCTTAATTGGATCAACTGGGAGCACATGTTCTGGCACAGGGAGGAGGGACCTACTTCAGTTACAGGGGCCAGCCACCCTGTGACATACCTGTCCCTTTCAAAAAAACAAAACAAAACAAAACAAACAACCAAAACCCTGCCTCTTTCACAGATAGGCTTTTTTCCTGACTTGAGGCCCCTTCCAGACTTCTTCCACCCACAAACCAAAAAGTGCAGGGGCCTGGTGGCCTCTGTGCAGCCTCCTGTTTTGGGCTATATGAGAGCTTTCCTGAGACTATTTTGTGACCCTGTTGGGTCACTCTTAACTCTGCCATATCATTCAGGCTGCTCATTTCCTTCAGCCACAGAGAAGGCTTCTGCCTATTTGACTTCCTCCCACACTGAGTTAGGCTGGCAGTGCCTAGCTCTACTCCCTTGAGTAGGACCTTTTTAAAAACTGTTCCAGGATGATTTGGTCCATGATTTTCTCTGTTGAACTGGTCTCCGGGCATAGCCACCAAGCCATGAGGTCCTGTAATCTTTGACCGCTATGTGTGGTCATGGCCCCCGTGGAAATGGTTCAGCCCAAAACCGGTGCTATACACCTCTGAAGTCAGTCCTAGTCTATTTAAGATGGCAGCCTTCACCACAGGATAGGAGCCTGTCTGCTCATCACTTACTGCTTGGTATGCTGCCTCTGCCTTGCCCATCAGGAACAGTGCTATGTAAATTGACTCCTTCCTGCCTGCTGCACTTGCCACTGTCTCCAAGGAAGGCCTATGGGTCGTTCTCTGGCCCAAGCTTTACCAGGCCAGGGACTAGCTGACCTGAGCTTCCCTCTCCATCACCAAGCAGGTTCCCCTGGGTCTCTTGACCTAACTGCTTCTGTAGACATTCCTGTTGCTGGAAGGGGGGGGCCTCTAGCCAGTGTTTTTGAGCAGCAAGTTGTGCCTCTGTTGCTTCTCTAGCCTGTTCGTCAACTGTAGGAGCATAGCCTCTGTCTTTGCTGTTCCTGTTGCTGCTGTAGTGCAGCTGTCTGGTGTTGCTGTGCTATAACCAATAGATGTATCATCTCCTCCATCTTCCTTAATCAGCCAAACTAGGTGGGCTCAGTCAATGCTTGGGCTTTCCCTTTTTTCTTGGCACCAGTAATTCTCCTTGCTCTCCCCTTGTACCAGGGGCCGATCTCAGTGCTAGCCTTCTCTTCCATATGTCAGAGGGCTTCTCCCCAACTTGTTATGGTCTCATTGCCACACCCACAGTCTCTCTTAGGCAGGTTTATTATCTAAACTTACACAAACAGTTCTGCAGCTGACCGTTTACATTTTAGGCTCTCACTTCTTCCCTTCCCAGTTCCTCTTCCTAGCTCTCTCTCAGCCATTTCTGCCTCATTGGCTCTCTGTCTGACCTTTGTAACTGCAGGTGCAGCCCTGCCCCCTTGATTAGCCCAACTGGGAGCACCTGTTTTGGCATAGGTGAGAAAATTGCATTCCTATGTTGCCTGTATAGTCTAGCACATTTATTACCAGAAGTTTCCAAATGTGTGTGTTTGCTAGTTAAGAATGAGCAGCATCCACTTTTCTTCTGGACCCCGTTGGTTGCTAGTACATTTTATGGATACTGTTAAATACATCTTTAGCCAACTCTATGTAAATCTTAAATTCCTGGTCATTTGACTATTTGTAATGTGTTTTAGGTAACTCAGAAAAACTGAAGTTATGCATAACACAGTAAAGAGTACCTAACTTTATTTTTTACAGCATGATTTTATTTTGCTATATTAGAATAAACTTTCACTTTTCAACAAAAATCCTTAATGGTTGCTTGCTTTATTCTATGAGGTACTGGAGGTGGATTTGAACTTTTGAATCCTGCAGCAGGTTGCCTTTACACCACCTGGGTGGTGCATGTGTATATATGTATGTACCATATGGATGCATTAATACACAAGACAGCATTGTGATTATATTGTACTAAAATGGTAACCAGAACTTTATTAGATAAGTGTTTTTAAGAATAACATTTGTTGTCTTTAATTTTAGGATCTGCCTTTGCTAAAGCAAAACCTGAAAGTCCTTGGACCTCTCTGACCCGAAAAGGAATTGTTCGAGTAGTTTTCTTTCCATTTTTCTACAGGTGGTGGTTACAAGTGACATCAAACGTCATCTTTTTCTGGCTGCTTGTTCTTTACCTTCTACAAGGTATAATTGGATAATAAGATAATATAAAAGCAAACATTTGTTTGTAACAATCTTGAAAATATTGTATCTTGTCAAGTTCACTTAGTACTGACAAGATCCAGTATTTTCAAAATGCTGAGCGGTCCTAATAATGCACCTTTAACTTACACAGCTTACTTCAGATAAAGGCTACTTTCCAAGGACCCCCTCATAAGTCCTGGCAAAAGCGGGGGAAGAGAACATAGATGGCAGCACACAGCATTGTGGCCAGTAGGCATCGGGGAGAGGCATCAGGGCTTTCTAAATTACACAGGGGGGCATGGAACAATCCAGGATTGGGAGGGTATAATGGTGGCTTAAAGCCACTTTAGCATCCCTTCCACTTGAACAGTGAAATCTGTGCTGTGCTTCCATCCTCTCTATGATGAATATGAATATTAAGAGTTTTCTGAACATCCAGGGAATACCAGAACTCTGAGCCCTGAGGAAACTAACCTCGTCAGCACCCTTCCAGTAGCTCTTCTGATCAACTATTTTCTCCACCATTTTTCTCTGCTGCCCAAACTTCTAGCTCCACTTCCCAGTAATACTTCCTTTTGCTTGTCTTTATATATACTCTGTTTCTAAGTGTATTTAAAATCCATAATTGGTGTTGCATTTAGGATCTATAATTAGCTGTGCATTCTGGGTATATTTTAAATCACTGGGGAGATTTTACTCTGGGTAGATGCAGTCTGTGGATAGTTGGGTATATTTTTTTCATGTAATATGTTCACTAACCTAAAATCAGATTAAAAGTATGTTAACATACAAAGTATGTAAAAACATGCAAATATGTGTCCCAACAAATATCCACAAACGGACCTTCCTTTTTTAAATTATTGAATAAATATATATACATTTAATTTAGAAGAATTTACTATGGTATAATGCTTGTTACTTTAAAATGAATCTTTGAAACAAGGTCAAAGATTGAAGACCTTGCATTTGAAGGGGATGGACTTTTTAGTTCTAAAACAAATGAAGTCTTAGAGAAAATGAGAGACAAGATCAACAGCTATACATCAGGGTTTCTTGCAATCTTTTAAGAAGAAAATTCCTATACCTACCTTCAAATAGCAAAGGCAACATTGTCCATCTTATTCTTCATTTTTATATTTCAACAAAGGCAGACAACACTACCAGCGGCAACAATGGCAATCACTGCTTCTCGGTAGCAATATAAAAGATGTCCCTTTAAATCCATGATGAGACAAAGGAATTTGTCCTCCATTCTGTACCTGCAGTTAGAGTGCAGGTGTGGCATGAAGTTCAAGAGCAACAAAACAACCTTGAATTCAGTTCCCCTAACAATTGGAGACTCTTTGTCATGTTTACAGCAAGTGTCAAAAGACTCTGTAGACAGATGGTTTTGATTATTATAAAAGGACAATTTGAAATCTTCCCTCCAGATCAACCTCCCCTCCCTCTCTCTTCATGGATCCCTCTCACAAGTTGGTGTTAAGAATAGAAATCTCCACTTTATTAATGGAGGGAGCAGTAGAGGAGGTTCAGGAAAATCTCAAAAATTGGGGTTCCTACTCCCACTATTTCCTAATTCCAAAGAAAGATGGAGGTCTTCGTTCCATCCTGGATCCAGGGCTGATCAGATGCATCCAAAAGTTCTTCTTCGAGTAGTGTCCCTATGGGTGCTCCACTGTAGGTGTATCTGTGCCCCTGTGCCTCTAATTGGAGATTTTTAACAAGAGGTCTCTGGAATCACCAGGAGTCTTGCCTTCATATCAGTGTTCTGGAGTTAAGAGCAGTTTGTTGGCACTCAGATCATTCCTCTCTCTGGTCAGATCATTCAGTACTCCAGTGCAAAGATCAGTGGTTCAAGTAGCCACAGACAATAGAACAGTAGCTCTGCATGTGACAGGGCCTCTCAGTGAGTCAGTGGACCAGCTACACAGAGACTTTTCCCAGATGCACAAATGGTACTTTAAAAAAGAACAGGAGTACTTGTGGCACCTTAGAGACTAACAAATTTATTAGAGCATAAGCTTTCGTGGACTACAGCCCACTTCTTCGGATGCATATAGAATGGAACATATATTGAGGAGATATATATATACACACATACAGAGAGCCTCTCAGAGTTGGTAAGACAACCCCCACCTGTTTATGCTCTCTGTATGTGTGTATATATATCTCCTCAATATATGTTCCATTCTATATGCATCCGAAGAAGTGGGCTGTAGTCCACGAAAGCTTATGCTCTAATAAATTTGTTAGTCTCTAAGGGGAGATAGAGTCAATGTTTGTAATGGCTCAGCCATTCCCAGTCCTTATTCAAACAGTAGCTGATTTTGTCTAGGGTGTA